GCACGTCCCCCAAGGAGCTGCAGCTGCGCTGGCAGGAGTACTATGAGGTGGTGACGCTGCTGCTGCAGTGGATTCGCCATCACACTGTCCTCTTCGAGGAGCGCAAGGTCCCCGCCAGCTACGAGGAGATCGAGGTGAGCCCTGGCCCTCGTGCTGCCCCGAACCCCAAAGTGGGGATGCCCGCTCCGGGGCTGTGACGGCTGCACCGGCACGGGGGTCTGCACAGGGCCCTGCCGGGGGGCGCGGAGGGCAGCAGGCCCCAGGCTGTGGCTCTGGCTGTGCCGTGGGGTGGAGGCGCGGGGTGGGACCGGGGTGCCGTGACTCACTCCTTCCACGCTGCCCCTGTGAGTCACCAGCCCCGTGTGGCCGCTCCGCCCTTCCTTCCTGCCCGGCCTGGCACGAGGACGGGGCCGGCCCCCCCGCGGGCAGGCCTGGGGACCCCGCTGTGCCCGGGGAGGGCCCCGACCCCCAGCTGGGCCACGGGGTGCCCCCCGCCCTCTTTAAGCCCCCCCTCGTCCCCCCAGATCCTATGGCGCCAGTTCCTGAAGTTCAAGGAGACGGAGCTCCCGGCCAAGGAGGCCGACAAGAACCGCTCCAAGCTCATCTACCAGTCGCTGGAGGTGAGGGCAGCCGCGGGGGCGCCGGCGCCTGCGCCTGCGCCGGGGGTTGGAGCAGCCCCCCCACCATCAGTGCCGCCGGGGCATGTGATGGGCCACGGGGCATCCTGTGACTCTCATTTCATGGCTCGCACTGGCGTGTGCAGAGCAGCTGGTCCTGCCACGTGCCGGGTGCCCCCTCCCCAGGGTCCCCGCAGCTGCCGGGGGGAAGGGCGGTGCCCCCCTCTCTGATGCCCACGGAGCCCCAGACCCACGCATGGGGCGGGAGGGGGCCGGGTGCCTGGGTCTGACGGGCTCCCTCGACGCAGGCCGCGGTGCAGTCGGGGCAGCTGAAGGTGCCGCCGGGCTACCACCCACTGGACGTGGAGAAGGAGTGGGGCAAGCTGCATGTCGCCATCCTG